TTTTTTTTTTTATTAAATCTTAATCTTCTTTTGATTAAATCTTTCTCCTTCTATTATTAAATCTTAATCTTCTTCTGATTAAATCTTTCTCCTTCTATTATTAAATCTTAATCTTCTTCTGATTAAATCTTTCTTCATCAATTATTAAATCTTAATCTTCTTTTGATTAAGTCTTTCCTTCCTTCATTAAATCGTAATCTCCTTTTGATTAAATTTCAAAATTAACATTCGTGAATTTGTCGTACGTGTTTCGTGGATACAAGTTGAGTGCGACGACGGATGAGGAGACGGTTAGATGAAGCTTAGGAGGGAATGAACGGAGCCTGTCGTGGAAGTTCAGCTTCTCAGAGCGCGGTTATTACAACCGTAATAAACGACGACATTTTCGGGCTTAATTACTTGCTTAATTAACGAAAGTCTTGAACTGGGGCGACAAGAGAGACTCGCAGCCTCGTGTAGGTGTTTTAATCTTTATTATTACGGAGAATCAGGAAGTTTGCGCTTCCATGGTGTTTTGCAATTGTTTCGGCAATTGTGGCTGGATCTTCCAACTGCTCGAAAAATTTCCGTCAAACGTTACACTCTGAAGTTTCTAGAACTTCTCAATTGACGATATTCTTTCACAAAGTTGCAGCAATTTGCAATATACATAATGTTTTCATCGAGCGTCGCAATATTCTTCCAAAACAATGTATACTAAATATAATACTGTGGTACAGTGTATACTAAATATAGTACTATGATATAGTGTATACTAAATATAGTATTATAGTACAGTGTATACTAAATATAGTATTATAGTATAATGTATATTAAATATAGTACCCTAGTACAGTGTATACTAAATATAGTATTATAGTATAATGTATATTAAATATAGTACCCTAGTACAGTGTATACTAAATATAGTATTATAGTATAATGTATATTAAATATAGTACCCTAGTACAGTGTATACTAAATATAGTATTATAGTATAATGTATATTAAATATAGTACCCTAGTACAGTGTATACTAAATATAGTATTATAGTATAATGTATATTAAATATAGTACTATAGTATAGTGTATACTAAATATAGTAATATAGTATAGTGTATACTAAATATAGTAATATAGTACAGTTAATACTAAATATAGTACCCAATATAGTGTATATTAATACTAAATATAGTACACAATATAGTGTATATTAAATATAGTACTATAGTATAGTGTATACTATATATAGTACTATAGTATAGTATATGCTAAATATAGTATTATAGTATAGTGTATACTAAATATAGTACTATAGTATAGTATATGCTAAATATAGTACTATAGTATAGTGTATACTAAATATGGTACCCTAGTACAGTGTATACTAAATATAGTATTATAGTATAATGTATATTAAATATAGTACTAGATATAGTGTATACTAAATATAGTAATATAGTATAGTGTATACTAAATATAGTAATATAGTACAGTTAATACTAAATATAGTACCCAATATAGTGTATATTAATACTAAATATAGTACACAATATAGTGTATATTAAATATAGTACTATAGTATAGTGTATACTATATATAGTACTATAGTATAGTATATGCTAAATATAGTATTATAGTATAGTGTATACTAAATATAGTACTATAGTATAGTATATGCTAAATATAGTACTATAGTATAGTGTATAATAAATATGGTACCCTAGTATAGTGTATACTAAATATAGTAATATAGTACAGTGTATACTAAATATAGTATTATAGTATAATGTATACTAAATATAGTACTATAGTATAATACTAAATATGGCACCCTAGTATAGTGTATACTAAACATAGTATTATAGTATAGTGTATACTAAACATAGTATTATAGTATAGTGTATACTAAATATAGTACAATAGTATAGTGTATACTAAATATAGTACAATAGTATAGTGTATACTAAATATAGTACTATAGTATAGTGTGTACTAAATATAGTACGAAGAGTCAAGATCTCTTTAGAGGGGACAGAAAATTCCGCTCATTGGCATCACACACAATCTACACTTGTGCAAAGTTCCAATTTTTTTTTTTTTTTCCTTATAAACCTGACTGACGAATTCTAACGTAAATAAAAAAAAAAAAGTACAAAGTGCAAAGTACTCACTGGTCTCGTTCTGGAAGTAGGGATCATCTCGGTCGGTAAAGAACCACGTCTGAAATCAGAAACAAAGAGAGGTTAAGTCAAGGGTGCACGACGGGGAACTACAGGATTGGCCAGAAATCACTTCCTGCTTGAAATAAGTCCTTACATATAATTTGAATAATCGGATTAAATTAATGAAATTAGCTCTTTTCGTATATTTCTCTTGTTTTATTTAAAAAAAAAAAATAAATAAATGGGAGGAAACTTTTGACCCACCCTGTACATCGTATGTTTCGAGTCTAACGACCTTCACGATCACGTACGCAGGCGCCATTGTTTACACGAGCCGCGTACCGATCGTAAATTTCGATTTCTCCGGAGTCGTTCGTTCGAGACTCGTCCGATCGGTCCCGTTTACGTCTCGAAAATCGAAAATCGTGCTCGATCAATCGATCACGCGCGAGTCACCCTTCCTTTTCCAAGACAACCAAAACTGAAACGACAGATTTTTGCCTATATTTGTTCCTTGTAAATCACAGACACTAATATGCAGAAGATTAAATTGTTAAAACTAAAGAAAAAAAGTAGAAAATTTTTCGCAGAAATCAAAAGACCTACAATATTCATTCTTCGTGGAAAACAAACTCGAGAAATTCGAAGGAAACGGACTGCGAGAGAGTGTAAAATCTCTGCGCGATTAACAATTGTGCATTCTCGTCTCGTTTGCTGATAAGTATCCCGTGAAGCTCAACAAAAGCAGGAAGAGAGGAAGGAGGCGCAACACCTTGGGATTCGAAGTTCTGGCTGGTCGGACGATCTCGTCCTCTGGCCGAGAGGGAGGTGGAGAGTAACGACGGATGCTAAAAGATCGGTGCAGCGCACGTGTTTGAAGCCAGTCAGTCGCCTATTTTTAGTTGGCGGAGTTCCCTTGCCAGGAAGTGAAGCGTCGACGGAACGAGGGCGAACGCTGAGCGAACGCGGCACAGACCAGTCACGACGCGTAGCATTGTCTCGAGGATCGTCACGTGACGCGGGATGCGCTTTCGAGGCATCCGGGGAAACGCGGATGCCACTTGCCGCCACTTGCTCCGCGCAGTGGAAAGGAGAAAGAACGTGGGAGAAAACGTGGGCACTCGTCTCGCCGAAACGCAACGAACGTCAGAAACCGAGTAGAAAGTAGCAAGCACTCCGCTGCTTGTGTATATCGAAGTGATCACTGGAAATGCGTTGGAGGGGGGGGGGGGGGGAGAAGAGGAGAATACGTATACACGATTGCTACGATCGCTCGCGGCAGATCTGCTGCGACTTTCGTTTCGAGAGAACTGGGCTGCTGTTCCGTCTCGAATCTACTCTGTAATTTGTAATATATCACGTTGAATGCCATACTGATTTTACGTGACTGGCCCAAGACGCCAACACGAATCTGTAGTTACACGACAGATATCACGTTGAAATATTACCTGCAACAGATAACATTGTTAACCTCTTGCGCCGGCAACTGGTTCGCGGACCGTAACGAATGACCAAACCGTATACGATAAATCGTTGCTATCTTTTTGAATTTGTATTCGGTATATCACTGGATAGAAATTATTGAGAAGTAATAAACACTTGTTTTGCGTTATTAGGTTATACTTAAATATACTTAAAACTGAGAAAATATTGCAATTTTGAGCCAAATATTGTCGACGTGCGTAGCAAGAGGTTAACCACTTGCGCTGGTAACTGACTGCGGACCGTAACGAGTGACCGAACACGTATACAATGAATCGTTGCTTTCTTTTCGAATTCGTCGGTATGATGTCACTCTAGATAGATAGAAATTATTACGAAGTAGAATGAATTTATTACTTGTTTTGCCTAGGTTATACTTAAATATACTTAAAATTGAGACAAAAAAATTCTCGACGTGCGTTAGAGGTTAACCACTTGCGCTTGGCAACTGAACGTGACGAGTGACCGAACCGTACACAATAATTCGTCGCTTTCTCTTTGAACTCGTCGATATGATACCACTGGATAGAAATGATTGAAAAGTAATAAATTTATTATTTGTTTTGCCTGTGCATTTGATTTATACTTAGATATATTTAAAATTGAGAAAATATTGCAATTTTGGGACAAAAGATTCTCGACGTGCGTTAGAGGTTAACCACTTGCGCTTGGCAACTGATTGCGGACCGTAACGAGCGACCAAACCGTACACAATAATCCCTAGTCACTTTCTTTTCGAACTCGTCGTTATGATATCACTGCCTATATAGAGAAAACTATGCCGTGAAAGAAAAGAAAAAGTAATTGGCGAGAAACCCAAAGATCGAACGGCGGGGTCAAAGTCCTCGACTTTGATATCTTGCGATAAGAACGGTCGCGACGAAACGGATGTCCTGCGTAACCGGCAATTAAACCGCGGCAGAGGGAGAGACGGAACAAACGCGAGACAGGGAAAAAAGAAGAAGAAAAGAGGTGAGACGAATAAACTCCGGAGTCAGCGTTCGCCGAAGGAAGGAACACGAATATCCGGCAAACAAGGGACTAGGGAGGCACCACGTGAAGCCAGGGAGAAAGAGGGACGAGAGACGAGATGACGTCAGTGGCACCGGCGTCGCGTTACATCGACGTAATTACGTTAATCCACGCACGTACGTCGCGGCTAAAACGGGCATCGTCGTTAAGCCGATGATCTCTCCACTGGGACCCGATTCTCCGTCTCTCTCTTTCTCTCTTCCTCGAGAATAGTTCGAACGTTTTGGTTCCAGTCGTTATTTCCAACTCTATGAGCGACGTTAGGAATTAAACGGACTCTTAACCTGAGCTGGAAGAGGTTACAACGTACACGTACACACACTTCTGCCGAGAAGCGTTAAGAAACAGTTTAGGTTAGGTTTAGTTACACATGGTTATGTAACTGAAGTTGCTCTTCTCATATTTCATACACTTTATACATCTATTTGTGCACTTCTCATATATAGGATGTTTCATTTTCATCCTGCCAGAATGTTCCATAATTGAAATTAAGGAAAAGATCTATGTGGATGTATGTAAGCGTAGGGTTGCAAATGTTATATATTGAAAAGTTATGATAAAAATACCAAAATTGTAAATTTATTCAATTAATTGATATCTATCAGTATTAGTACTAACTCATGCACCTCTTACATATAGACTGTTTCATTTTTATCCTACCAGAAAGTGCCAGAATGTTTTACAATTAATTATGAGTAAAAGATGTTGTACAAACACAGGATTCCAAATGTTTTATAACAAAACTATAAATTTAGTCAGTTAATTGATACCTATTAGTATTAATACTAACTCATGCACCTCTTACATATAGACTGTTTCATTTTTATCCTACCAGAGAGTGCCAGAATGTTTAAATAATTATAAGATTTTTCATCGAGTATACAAACAATCCTGTATCTAACTGTAAATATACTCCAATAACTAAATGAATATTCAAGTTACACATGCTTGAAAATCCAAGTACCCAAGCGTGTAAATATTTGTCTGCCCGAGTATGTTTAAGTGCTTGAACTTGAACCTACTGAAATACACCAACCACCTATAGTGCCCTCATAAATCGTGAGAGCTCTGAATACACTGAATTAAGCCACTAGAGTAGCTAAAGAAAAAAAAAAAAAAAAAAAAAAAAAAACAACAACGTAAAATTCAACTGAAACTACCAACGTTCCAAATTTCAACCCTCTGATGATCCAATCAATTTCGAGAAATCATCAACCAATCGTCGATTCGAAAGATAGAGGAAGCCGAAAAGAAACGAGGAGGAACTGAACGAGGAGGACTCGACTCGTGGCTGCGCCCTATATTTTACTCGCGTAAAATTACAGCGACACAGTCGACGAACGTTTCCAGATAAATAAACGACTTGATAATTGATCAATTATCCGCGAACGTTTCGGAGGCTGTTGTAAATTGAAGGGTTGCGATATATAGGGCGAGTCACTGAAACTAATGACAAACGTTTGGACGATCGATCGATCTTTTCACTCTGACGAACACCCACGGCATATTAACAGCGAGCCAATCGAGCACGATGACTCTTCGATTGCGACGACTTGTGAATTCCACTCCGCGGTGTAAAGCCGCGGTACAAGCAATTTGTCGAGGTCGAAAGCGTTGATGCGATGGCAAATTCGAACATAATCGTCCAAATACTATTTTTTTAGGATTTTTTAGGATATTTTAGGATTCCCCTCTTTTGCTGATTTAATGATTAAATACTCAGATATATTAATTAATATATTAATAATTAATAATTAAATACTCATATTTTTATATTAATAATTAATAATTAAATACTCAGATATTTTTATATTAATAATTAATAATTAAATACTCAGATATTTTTATATTAATAATTAATAATTAAATACTCAGATATTTTTATATTAATAATTAATAATTAAATACTCAGATATTTTTATATTAATAATTAATAATTAAATACTCAGATATTTTTATATTAATAATTAATAATTAAATACTCAGATATTTTTATATTAATAGTTAATAATTAAATACTCGGATATTTTTGTCAATCGTTGCAGCAAAAATAGTAGAAACGTCAGCAACGTGTAAAGCAACTCGATTTACATTTTAAACGAGTTCGTATCAGCAGATAAATAACACGGGGCCCTCTGGCAGTAGTCCGCTTTCCTGCCTAACCCCTTTTCTTCGCTAGCGATAAATCATTCACCTCCGTAAATTGGATCGTGAATTCGTAACAGCGTGAAATGAAGGAAGCATCTCGATACTTTCTTTCTAACATCTTTTCCCCTCTGTTTAAATTACCAAAGTATCATAAAAGGTGCGAATAAAGTAATAGAACGATAATATAATATATAATAAATAATAAAGTTAATATATAAAGACAATGCAGTCAAATAAATAATATACAATATGTAGTAAAGTTGGTTTTGTTTTTGGGAGATCCTTAGGTGGATCGAATCAATTTGTTCTCTGAGAATTCTATTCCATTCTGATCTTTCATCAGGTATTTGAGAATCTTTTTTCTTCCATCAAATGCCTACAGTAACATTTTCTTAAACTTCAATTGTATACTCTAAAGACCTAGAAATAACTTTGACATACATGTATTATCTAGATTATCTAGATTATTGGTATTTACTTAAATTCATCCTTTCTATTCCACCCTGATCTTCCATCAATTATTTGAGGACTTTAGAATTCTTTTTCTTTCATCAAGTGTCTGTACTAGAATTTTCTTAGATTTGAATTGTGTGACAAATTCTGAACAAATATCCCTGATATACCTGTACCTACATCTAGATTATAGGTTTCTATTTAAATTGTATATTATACATTTAATTGTATTATAATTATATAACAAACTCTGAAGAACTAGAAATACCTCTGATATATCTATGTACATATATTGCAGGTATCTAGATTACGGGTTTTTATTTAAATTCATATTTTCATGATTGAAACAAATAGAATGTAGATAGAGATTTCTTTTATGCAGCAAATATTGCAACGTCTACATAATTCGTTTGAGTGCGCGATTCCTGAAAATCTCAATTATTAGCCGGCCCTTCTGGCGACTTTTTTGGGCTGCTAATTCCAGGAAGTGTCGCCGGTAGCGCTGGAGAAGCAGAGGGAGGCCAAAGCAAAATGGAGAGTACAATGCACACAATTAGTCGTGGCAAGATAATATCGCAAAAATTGGGCCTTCTACCTGTACCATCGTCTACTTCACCATCATCTACGCTTCAACGAAGACCGGAAACAGACAGACTCGGCGAATGAAATAGGTGGACAGACGGATGTGTAAAATTCGTTTGTTTCAAGAACGAGAGCTCGATCCGCAAACGAAACGATGTACGCTGTTAGCTGGGAACAAGAGACGCAAAGGAACGAAACGGCCGGAACAGAAACACAGCGAATGCGGTTCCCACGAGACGAGTGCGCATCGAGCTTGAAAACCACCGAACAGTAACAAATCGTACACAGAGTGGGCCCTATTCCAAACAGACGTCCAATCTAACGAATTAATACCTTTTTCAGGAATCAATTATTACTCTTCGTTTGAGATTACTCGAAAGGTAATTATCTGCAGAACCAAACAACGATTCAATTTCGACGAGATATGTATGTGTTCTAAATCTCTAACATTGTGCGACGATTCGCTATCAATAAAATGAACCAAATGTATATTTTTAATTGTGCAATTGTCTAATTTTGTCAAATGTATAATTTTGATTGCAGCAACAAAATGATGAACCAAAAAAAACCATCGAGAAATTGATTCTAAGATGTGATTCTGTAAGATTGCAATATTAGGTAAAATATTTTACAATGTTACAAGATTCTATTATCATGTTCGTGTAACATAACAATGTGTTTGTATTATGTCTAACATTATATTTAATATGTTGTTACGTGTAACATACATATCTGCTATGTTTAACATATTGTATTGTATCTAATACTATATTTGATTATTATGTGTAACATGTATATGTACATTTCTGCTAAGTTTAATATCCAATATTTAATTCTATTATATAGAAACATTAACACTGTGTTTGATATGTTATTATGAATAATATATATATGTAATGTTCAGTATGTTGTATTATATCTAACATTGTATTTAATATATTGTTGCATGTATACGTACGTATCTACTATGTTTAACATATTGTATTATATCTAATACTGCTAATTTGATACATTGTTATATATAATATGTACATATATCCAACATTGTATTTAATATGTTCTTACACCTAACATGTACAGCTGTCATGATCAACATGTTGCATCATATCCAACATTATATTTAATATTACCTCTCCATTAAATTTAATTTAACGCTGCAATCTTACAGAATCACGAAGATAACCTATAAAGATCTGAAATAGGACAAACATCTCAATATACATCATGTAACGCGGTAACCGCATTCTATAGAGTACAAGAAACATGAAAGCTCCCGGACGATTTGTCACGTACCTGATCCTTGGCGAATTGAAACCACGTGCTGATGATAGCTGGCAGGCGGGAGTGATGGTAGTGCTTGGTTGTTTTCACGCTGATAAACACGTCGTCGAGATTCGTAGTGAACAGCGCCATGGTCGCAGTCGCGATCGCAGGTGTCACCGATGATTCCTCGCTGATCATCATCCTCCTCGACGCCGACACCTCCACCAACACGTTTCTACTATTCACTTCGACCGTCATCTCGTCAACCCACTGCGGACAATACAAGTACGTATACAGTCAGCCGCCATGTTTTCATAACGTTTCACAAACGTAGCGCTTATAGAGCAACAATTCGATCGAGCATTCTTGGAAAGGAAGCGAGCTCGCGTAATGTTTACTCTCTCGTGCACGCAACCAGAGAAGTTCGAACTTGATTTGTCGCTCGATCAGCATAACTGGCTATTGAATCGTGCTTGGGGAAACGAATGACTCGACGTCGATTGCAAGTGACATTTGCGTCGTTCTTTATCACTTTATAGACATTTACTTTTTTTTTTTTTATAGAAATGGATATTTCTATTTTTTAACCTTAGCTTAGCAGCTTTGTTTGCCGGTTACAAGTCGATATAAGTCTAAATTTTAAACCCTCTCAGTGTTTCATTTCATTTTATGTACTTAATTATTTTTAAGTTGCGACGAGTATACTCGGTGCATTTGCTTCCTTCAGTTTGTTAAAACTGAAATAAATTACAATAAAGCGACAAAGTTTTCCAGTTGTTTTTCTTTAAATCGTATTTTAAACATTTATTATGAAATTGTATTATAAAAAATTATGTGCAATTTATAATTGCAATTTATAACTTCTCTTTTCTTGTCTTAAAGTATTCTAAAATATGTTAAAATTACGAATATGTCTATCTAAATTTTACTGTAACAGCAAATGCAAATTTTTCTTTTACTACATGACGACTGTGTGCTCGTCATCAAATAAAAAAATGGCGTACTCGAGAGGGTTAATAACAAGGAGTAGATGATAGATGATAGTATAATGAAAGTAAAAGAATAATGATAATGGTGATGTAGTTCCTTCATCTAATGAATATCTATTTCTTTCTATATCATATCTTCATTTAAAAAATGGAATCTGCAATAAAAAATTTGATAATTCTCTAACAAACTCAATAAGATGACTTTATGAAGCTTCCAGAACGACGGAGAAAGATAATATACATCAGAGTGGATAGTATATAATTCAATAACGAATATTTTTTACGTCATCAAGCAAAAAAAAAAAAAAAATGGCGTCTCTTCGTACTCGACGCAAACATCGAAAAGGTTAATTAGTGCGTACATGTTACGACAAACACAGTGGCGGGTAAATATCTTTTACAATCACTATGCTATTCCCGACAGTTTCATTTGACAGAACGATTGAAACAGTAATAATAATAAACAATAACTGCCAGTAACAACTGATATTAACAATAAATAAATGAACAAATTAATGAAACACTTACCTGACGAGGTGCAACGGCCTGATAAAGGAGGATAGTGGCATAAGCGGTGGCGAGAACGAGCGCCAACGCCTGAAGGCCTCGTCTAGTCGGCAGGCTACGGGGCATTTTAGCACTTCCGGTGCCGGCGTATCCCGCGCCAATCACCGATAAACGAGCCTGCGGCCCACCGCCGCCGAATTTCACCGACCGTCCCTCCTCCTCGTGATTTTCACGCTTTTCACGCGCGCCGACGATCAACGGCGACCACCCCGCATCATTCCCCTCCTTCTGCCGCGTGAAAAATACGCCAGTCATAACACACACGCGCACGAGCGATCACGCCGCTTACCTTCGCTCCGTTGCTCTTCCGAAATATCGATACTGATCCGATGAATCGCGGCTCGCTTTCGATGATCAAATCGACGCGGGACGATCGCGTCTACGCATGACAACGAGCCGCGTGAAACCAACACTCGATTCACTGCAGCTGCACGATCACGAGTGCAGTGTACGAACGTCCGTTGAATGTTCCTCGCTGTCACTTCGTAACTCGACGATACACAGGACAACCCGCGAGATTTCGACGTACCTGATTCCCGACGGCACCGCCGACGATGTCATTGTTCCGTCTCCCGCTAGTTTCCGGCCGGATTGATCAACCGCCTGCTCGAATCGATCGAAACGTCGGGATTGGCACGTCCAGGAATAATCGAACAGTCGTCATAAATCTCGATCGATCGATAGTCGGGCAACTCGTGAAACTCGCCCTGCGAATTTATCATAACGAGTAACTGTACTGATACGGCAATAATAATAAAGATTCCTTTGATTTCTAATCGTTCGATCGCTCGATTTTTTTTTTTTTTTCGCAATGTTGTGGATAATTTGGGACCTGTAGAACAGCGGCGAGCGTTTGACAATCAAGTGGTTGTCATACGGGAACGCTTTCGTGAGGCGAAGGTATACGAAAAGTCACGAGGCGAACACGCACGAAAGAAAACGAGTGCTGCGCGGCGCGCGACGAGCCACCGACTGAACACATGGCCGGCCGTTGTGACTACGCTGTAAACATCGCTATAGCAGCCACTTCGCCGGCATGGTGGGAGAGCGGCCTGCAGAGTGGCACCGTGTCTCGAACGAATGTGAGAGAAGGGGTTACGCGTTTTAAATGGAACAACCCCCGGCTCTTCGTTGATCCGAATTTAATATCCTAATAAAAATATAAAAATATATTATTATGCTTTAATTTTTAAATATATATTAATACATATTGTTAAATATATTTTTTATTATTTAATTAGCATCTTTTATTATTTGATTAGCATTTTAAATGGAACACCAGACTAATATCCTAATAAAAATATGTTAATATGTATTATTATTAATTAAATATATTTTTTATTATATATCTTTATATTATATAATCGATAAATAAGGAGTTTTAAATGGAATACCTCGTTGATCTGGACTAACCTAATAAAAATATAAAAGTATATAAAATACAAATATATTAATACGTATTATGTTTTAATTATTTTATATATTAATGCGTATTATTGATAATTAAATATATTTTTTATTATATATCTTTATATTATATAATTGTTAAATAAGGAGTTTTAAACGGAATACCTCGTTGATCTGGACTAACCTCCTAATAAAAATATAAAAGTATATAAAATACAAATATATTAATACGTATTGTTTTAATTTTTTTATATATTAATGCGTTATTGATAATTAAATATATTTTTTATTATATAATTAATGAATGAGGAAAGTTAAACGTTTTAAATGGAACACCGGCTCTTCATTGGTCTGGACTAATATCCCAATAAAAATATAAAAATATATAAATAAAAATATATTAATGTTTCAATTTTCAAATATATATTACTATATATTATTAATTAAATATATTTTTGTTATATATTTTTATATTATACAATTAACGAATAACCATTGAATTTCTTAACTTTTATAATTCAACTTCTTTTTATACTATATTTCTTTTCTACTTCTTTTATAGATTTGTTCAATTTAGACCTTTCGGTTGTTACAATATAAATGCAAATGTAAACTGCAAAATGTAATTGCAAAATATTGGAGACATTATATAATATGTATACTGTGAAAGAAATATTATCGTTGATAAATTCATCCCAAAGTGTTCGAAGGACGAAGGGGAGTTAGTTATAAAGTATAACTATCGCAGGTCAGGTGTAAATTTTTTCGTAAAAGATTGCTTATATTTTTCATATTACAATATTTAATTATTAAGATCGTTAATATTTACATTTGTACACGATTGAATACACATCACTGTATAGGAAAAAATTTGAACGGATAATCATAAGTACTTCATCGTGAGCTATATTTCGCGAGTTGATAAAAATCGTCCACTTCAACTTCAAATGCGCAATACTCTTTCGCTTCAATAAATGTCTTTTTCAACATCATCAAAATTAGAAGTTGTTATAAATTCTTCACTTGTAAACCAAATCGTTCCTAATCGCGATAGAAGAGACGTTTCTATCCCAATGATTGTTAAATTTCTTATCCGTTTCTTTTTCTTTTTGTTGTTTAAAATAAATATGTTTGACGTAATTATCATGATAGCTGCCACTTTGCACTTTTCAGAACCCAATTGTATGTGCGTTCATCGCACATCATTCACGTTGCTCTTCGACGTAAAAGAACTATACTGTTGTACAACTTAATCGCAGGTCCGAGACGTAATCCCAGTAGCGATACCAAATCCTCTTGAGTCAACATTAAAAATGCTTCGCCGTCAATATTCTACGAACATAAAATACACCAAATTATATGAACTGTTTGAATGTAATGAATTATATTACTTTTTTTCTTTCTTTCCTTTAATACATACATGTTGCCTAAAGATATTTCCAATTTCTTTACAGTTGGGTACGCTTTGTATAAATTTAATGACTTCTTCATTCGACCATCTTCGTGGATTTGTGTTCTGTTTTGCTACTACCCTGTTTAAAGCATTGCTATGTTTCGCCCAAATATGCGGCGAATCCGGTAACGGATTGTACCCAGGATTGTAAACAGATTGATACAATTCAGTACGCAACTGTTTATCAGGCATATTTGCAGCATAAGGTATAGTAGTTAACGATGAGTCACCGTACGAATTCGAGAGGGAATACAAAGGTTCCTCTGAAATCTGTCGCCTACAAAATGTACAAACATGTATAAATTGACAACGAGTACATAACATTTAACAAATGCAAAAAAAATAGTTATGAGTTAACCTCTTTTTCCTCTTTCTTAAAAGTTCATCGTCATCCGTTTGCCCATCACTGTGATGATGTTTTGATCTATTGTACCTGTAATTATGAATTACACGTAATTATGAATCAATTATAACAATGTACAAATCTAATTAAAAAAAAAAATTTGTATAGTTTACTTTTCTGAATTTTCAGATTTATCATTCTTGTCGGAAAAGTCCCCATCTTCTTGCTTAATGTCTTTTTCAGTCTTCATCAACCGTTCGTCCGAAAACAATGGTTTCTCCGACTTCTCCATTTTTATTTTATCGGCTTTCTCTAGTTTTGGTCTGTCCTGCATATCCTCTTCAAAATCACAAGTCTCGTGTTTCAAATTAAGTCTATCAGATAACTGTCTAACTTTATGAAGATTTTGAGGAGAATATGGACATCCAGATGCAGAGTTATGCGTTGCATATTTAGGCCCTTTTACGTGTCCTATTCCTTTGCAACCATATGTTCCACATTCAGGTCTGTCATTTAAATTATCTGGCGCTGGAAACAGTAATACACATTTGAAACAACAACGTAAAAACATGAGAATTATACAGATATTTATAAAACTCTTACTTAATGGTGGTTCTAAGGGATGACCAGTTTTCATACACCAACCCATGGGATGTATGTCAGGGGAATCGTCGTCCACCCAATAGGCATGATTTTCTGGCCATCCGTCAAAACGTATTTTCAACCTGTAGAACAAAAATACAAATAATTTTATTACGTTCCAATAAATTGTGAAAAAAGAATAACAGATACTTGTAATTTACGTACATATGATCTTTCACGTCTTCAACTGTTGCCACCCTTATGAGTTGAGGCACACGTTTATCAACTGTTTCTAATTTCATTCCACGCTTAAATCCACAAGGAGGTCGTTGTTTAAAAGCTCTAGCTGGTGCGACCATTGAGCGAGTTTCTCTAAGATATGCATCCCATGTGAAAGATTTGGGGTCTTTATAGTCTGAAACAGTAAATTCACGTTTTCATATGAACATTTTCATATACATTGTCTTACTTACTATTTGGTGGCGTCAGACTGTGACCATTGTGATGGCACCAACCCACTGGATGAATGTACGGAGAACTTGCATCTGCCCAATAATCGTACACTTCGTCCCAAGAATCAAAATGAACTAATATACGGGAATCCATTAGGCCTGCTATACTTGCTACGCAAACCAACGAAGAATGCTTCCTATCTACCGCTTCTAATTTCATTCCTACGCGAAAACCAGTTGGACACACTGACTGGAATAGCAAAATCCATTTGGTGAAGTACATGAAATTTTCAAAATGAACGATGAAAGTTTGATAAAAAGTTGACTTACACTTACACTTTTGTTTGAAAATATATTTTTTGGCGCTGCGGTAGCTTTACAAATTTTTAAATAGGCATTCCAATTAAAATTACTAGCTACGTAACCTTTCGGCGGATCTAATCGATGTCCATTCTTTTCCGACCAACCGACCGGGAAAATATCCATACTATCTGCGTTTATCCAAAAATCGTAATTTTCTGCGTATCCATCGAAATGCAAGCGTATTCGATAACCTAGAATTATCCAGATAAGTAGATTGAACATCCTGAACGCTATTTTATGCATCGAATACAAAAATGAGAGCAAAATAAAATAACTCACCCACTACTTCAACAACTGTTAGAACACAATATCGTGACGGATGTTCAGGATCTATTCCTTCTAATTTCATCCCAACTTTGAAATGATTTTTAGCGTATGGAAAGGGGTCTTTGAATAATTTAACCGGCGCTGCTTTGGCTTTGCAATGTTCAAGATACTTGGACCATGAAAATCCGAGTTTTCCTGTCTGCCAAGGATACTGAATACAGACACATTTATGAGCAGTATGTTTCAATAAATATGAAAGTGAAGTTTTATTACAAATACCTTCGATTCAGCGATATCTCCTTGACTCTCTTCATCCATTCCTGTAATAGACTCTTTTGTATCCTCGTCTGTTTCAGACTTCACTTTATCCTGTCCTTTGTCTTCGGACTTATCTTCCATGTCTTTAGATTGTTGCTGCTCTTGAAGTAATCTCTTGCGTTTTCGCCTCGCGCGTAAATCCCTGTCAATACAATCGAAATGAATCTGAGTATAGGACATTTAATTAAGTGTTAGAAAATTTTATACATGGCGTACATACTTCAACTCTTTTTCTTTTCGCAATGCAGGCTGTTTCTTGGCTTCTATTATTTCTGTACATGTTGGACCACATGATATCGGACTTTCAAATTCTGCAGCCAATCCGTAACATCCACAGCCTTCACAATGGTACATTGTGTCTGCCGAAACAGTCCTTGATTTCCTATCGTCGGCTGTAACAATAAACTCTGTCAAATTCAAATGAAATTCATCTTCATTCTTTTGAAGAAAATACGTATATTCGCATTGTTAATACTTACGTTTTTTCTCGTTGTTTATATTGTTGACAGTTACGGGACTAGATTTAGAAGAATTTTGTGTCGAACAAACATTCTCTTTGTCGCCAATGCAATCTTTGCCTTGTTTGTTATTTTCGTCCTCATCCACTACTTCCATGATCCCAAACTCGTTCATACAAAACTGTGGAATATATTCAACGTTTCAAACCATAATGTTGCAAATTAATTTCCTAATATTATATATTACTATACCTTTAATGTACTTCCAGGAAGGGTTCCAACACCATCCTTCCAATCCAAAACTTTCGTCGCATCGAAGTTCGAATCATTCGGATGTGTCGTATTCAAATGATCTTTCAAGTCTTCATGATTATTTATATTAATCTTAGTATCACTTTTATTGTCAGTTATTGATTCAATGCCACAACTTGTGCGTGTTTTAATAATCTCAATCTTTATATCATCATCCATGTTAGCATTAGTTAACTTCACAGTTTTCTCTTCGCTAGGAACTACTTTGATCAAAGTAATGTCATCATCATTTTGCACTTTTTTGTCTTTATCTTGCTCTGATTCGGGACTACTTAATGCGTAGCTTACGTCAACTATACTTTCCTGGGGAGATTTTGGAAGAGTTTGCTTTTTCAATCGTTTTTCACTTGATCCTCTTAATATATTGCTTATCGTTTTTTTTCGCTTTTCAGGCATGCCAATATCATCCTTTTTTGGGATAGGGGTAATAACTGCGGAATCTGGATTTTCTGTAATTTTTATACTATCTGTGGAATTATTGTTTCCTTTATTTGCGTTTAGTAAACTCATTTTTGCAATAGGATGCAAAGGAGGTGGGTGTGTAGCTGAATTTGTAGTTTTCGACTCCCGTAACACTACAAAAGATAACATAATGATTATTAATTCGAATCTAACAATACAATAGAGTAATATAATTTGAAATATTTACCTGTAATAGTTCCTTTATTTTCTGTATTAATTTGGCCATTGTTAATTTTTAAATTAAACATGCTAGACTTAGTAGGTCCACCTTGTGGGGGTATACTGACTGGTAATAATAAATTAGCCATGTGTTTTGGAGTTTGGCTTTGAGATCCAGTGGTACTGCTTGTTGAAGTTTGAGCTAACTGCGATATAACTGGTGCTATCACTAATTTTGGTTTAGCTATTTGAGTCGTAGTTAGAGCTCCTAATGAAATATAACAAAAAAATGAGTTAAAAGTATATCAACAAACAGCATCTTTTATTTCTCATAGCTTTGTTGTGAAAATAAAATAGTCACCTGCTGGAATAACAACAGATTCACGTGACTTATTTGGTTTGATGAGAGTTCCAAGATATGCAAAGGTGTGCTTGCCTGCTTGTGCATTAGTTTGATTTCCCTGAGAAGTACTTAAGGGCACAATCTGAGCAGTGGATGTATTAGACTTTCTAAGCAATATATGTTTCTGACCTTGTGAAGTGGTTGTGGTACTGACAGTATTGATGGGCCGATGAATTACAATATGCTGTTTACTTTGAGAAGTAGTAACCTGACTTGGCCCTTGTATAAATACCTTGTTCTGTCCAGTAACAATCTATAACGAAATTAAAATAAACAATTTATTGATAACTCACAAATCTCCAAAAAAATTGATTGAACAATCTTAACATTTTGAACACATTTTGAATCACATATCACTTAACAATTAAAAACTATATAATTTCATATAACTCCTCACATTTGAATGAAGTGTCCTTTGAGAAACATTTGGAATATTTTTGTAATGTACTCTGATAAAATAATTGAATGGTTACAAAAGTGATATTTAATATAATCTGCAATTCTCCACTTTACTAGCAAGTATGTTGAACAGATCTGCATTTACTATAAAGATATACACCATTCAATGCTACCATCTACACATGGAATTTAATAGGATTTCACACTTTACATGTGTACATTCCATATCCATTTACACATGACATAATGAAACTATAGTTAACAGTACACATACTTGAGATACCACCAATTATTCTGGATCATTTTACACAATTATAGGTTACTCTGACCTATATACTATAACTATGCAGTTTATTGTACTATATAGTATAATATATTATTCTACTTATGTAAGAATTGAATTATAATCATTATGAATACTTCAATGTTTCACTGTAAACTTTTACAATGCTATATATAAACATAATGTGGAAAGAAAAGAAATGCCTCTCTTAAATAGTCAGCTATCTCATTTAAGATAAGGATATTAACAAATTACCTGATTATTAACTGGATTGATAATAGCAGCCAATTGCGTGGCATTTGGTGAAACCAAAGTCTGATTAGTGGTTGTTGGTGGTGCTGAGCGTAATTTACTTTGTTGGATATATAATAAAGGCATAACGGGTGTTGTTGGGTCGTCTGACTGTGGAGCCTCCGTATTGCTATTCTCATCTACATCATCTACTACTATTTCTTCTTCCATTCTGTTGAAAAAAGCATAACGCAATATATCTTTTAGAAAAAGAACTCACTTTGCACGTTCAATGACACAAAGGAATCTCACAGGAATATTTCAAAGCATCAATCCACAATTTATACTTTTAACTCTAAATAACTCTAAATCCTCCTTATCCTAATTATATCACAAGAGAAATATATAATTTGACATATTTGAAATATTCAAAGATAAAACTTGACTGGCCTAAAAGTTAAATCACATCTGATTTTCAAAAATTATTATAAAAGAAAAAACCAAAAACAACATAACGATAAAAAAAATTTTTAGTAGAAAAGAAACATATTAACATCGACAAAGAAATATCGCGAGGCGACACAAGGAAAAAAAATACGCAAGGAAAAGAAATCTCTTGCAATTCTACAAACCTAACAGTATATAATATTCTCCTATCGCCAGACAGAATCGTCGCTATTCACATAATTCGCATATAACCTTGACTTTTCAACGTGCAACATGCAACGAGAATCCCTGAGAAACTTGGCGGTCAAACCAACAGGCGAAGTTTAACAACTAATGCCTTGGTGTCGCGTATAGCCATAACTAGGCGTCGAGGGGATCCCACTAACGCGATTTGAAACACGCGCCGAATTGGTCTCGCGGAGTGTTCCTGCGTTTATTATTTTTTTCGCTCGTTCAAACGTGTCGGTCGGTCAGCAATTTATTCCCGTGCATTCTATGAGAACACCGGTGGATCTCCAGGAACAAGCAGCGACGAACAATCACGGTGGCGAATGTCTTTTCACCCGGGTACTTTTGCAAATCGTCGATCGCGCATCACGAACTACTCCGAGGGAACACAACGCGCACGCACACTTTTCACTGGAATACAAAGACGGATGAAATTATGCGAGGCCGATCGTCTCGCTGTCGGATATCACCAGAGCAGCGCGAACGATCAACGCGTTGCGAACGAAGGGGCAAACGAAATTGCAGCTACGAAGCGAAATTTCAACCATTATTCTCACATTGATATCTTTCAAGCGTTCGAGCCTTCGTTCACGTACGCTACAGCTACGTGCTCATAGGCTCCGACTGTAGTGGCGACGGCGCAACAGGCCGCCTGCCATTGGTCAATCGGCGTCACGCCGACGGACAAGTTCCTAACCTCGGCTAATCGGATCATCCTTGATACGAGTTGTTAACCGTACCGGAAAATAGAGACTTTTATCACCCGAGCACCGATGCAACTTCGAAATCGCTCGAAGATCATCGATCGTGCCCGGCCGATCAATAATTACGCGTCACGTACAGACCACGACTCCTTTTCACTTTATTTGGTGCCTTTACGAACACACTTCTCTCGCTGCAACTCTCGACAAATCTCCCGCGCAAATGTACGGAAGAAAGGGGGAAAAGAAAAAGGGAAGTGAAACCGATTTGCGTTCTACCGATCGATGCGAGCTGAAACCGATTGAAAATAAAAATGGGGAAAAAGACGAGTATAACTCGTCGTTATGCAATGAGAAATAGCCCCGTTAGAATTTTAAAAATCTAAATGCACCCGAGGTTCGTAGTTCGAGAGAAATATGTACAGTATGAAATATCTCTGACTCGTGAATACACGTGTGTATATAATATATATATATACACGTGTACATACGTGTATGATTAGATTCTATTATTTTATTTTCATAGTTGACGGTTTTAACCAATAGCAGCCGGTATTTTGTGTGACGTCGTATTGTTATCGTGGTTGGATTGGTCAAACGAGTAGCACGTATAATCGGTGAAAAGGATTCCGCTTTGAAACAGCAATTTCTAGCGAACCCCTGACAAAATTATTAAATTTTAACTGTTTGCATGTTTTGCTACGCCGTGCACGAAAATACCATTTACGTTAACTCGCACGAACTGGCAATCGATGCATTCAATTCACACGCTAGAAAAACACTCAAGTTTTGATTTCGATATACTTCTGGATTAACCTCTAAAATATGAAATGCGTTCAATGTTCGATGTATTATCGCTTCGTGTAACAATTCACCACCACCGTCGGATTACGATTATAGTACTGCGAGATTTCGTAAGTTCACGTTCGAAATGGACAAAAATCGATGACAAACAATTGTTATCCACCGAAATCGAAGTTTCCAACAATTTACGAGCCTAGTATAAATTAACAGCAATGACAATAATACAACGTAGGTACGATTTGCGAGTATCTTTTAAATTTGTAAATAAACAATATATGTGTACTAAATAATTTCTGAATGGAAATAGTGTTTCAATCATTTACTTCGCTACACAATGAATAAAATCACGAATATCGATGCTATTTTATGGAAAAAAAAAAATCGTAAACTGCATTTCGATGAAGCACGAGATATTTAATCTACGATTATCGAGGTTATTAAAAAGTTTCCGAGGTTATTAAAAAAATAAAAAGAAAACGAAACTATTTCGTTAATTTCCGCTTTACCAGTGCAAATTGATCGTACGAGTACAGAGATGTAATCACAATACCCCGAAATACCAACTTATAATATTTTAAGTACATTAAATACAAGTGTTGATAAATTGAAAAAAAATATGAACAAAGATCATTGCGACGATCGTGATAACGTGTATTCGAAAGTTTGCACGCGTTACATTCATTCATAAATACTTTACAACTTTTTCCAAGTACACCGATGCAAGAAGTTACGGAAAGCTTTATAGGTATACTTACTAGGATAAGTGAATGTTGGTCTAACGAATTGCGAGCGGTAATTTTAAGGATATAGTCTGTCGTACGTCGATCGTGAGAAAGAAATTACCTGGCTAATATACACCTCAATATTCGGTGTTACCACTATTACATTTTACACGCAAACAACACGATATAAACATAAGAAATTATACGATAATAAACTCACGTTTTAAAGTTGTCAGTCGCCATAATATGCGAAGAGACGATATTACTCTACGTGCGCATGCGCATCGACCCATAGCTTCTGCTGTAAAGGCTCATTCACATTTCAACACGTAAAATAGAATAAGATAAAAATGTTCAATTACATGCTTCATAAATATGTATTTTAATATCGTAATAAAATTTCTCGAGTATAGAATTTTTGTTTTTAAACGTCAAGGTAAACTTATTTCACGGATGCATTTTTTTTTTTGTTTTTTTTTTTTAAGAACAAACTACGACTAGCGTCAATTCGTTTGCTATCATATCAAGCAACTAATAAATAGTAATTATTCTTCCGTTTATTTTTTTCGTACGAAAGTCTTTATTAAATATTAAAAAGTCATTTTCCTCTTTCAGTTTCGTCAAATAATGACGCGAAGTTTCTGCATCGACCGAATCGCGTAAAAATAATTTACGTTTTTCTTTTGTTTTTTTTTTTTTTGGTCGCGCAAAGCAAGAATCAAATATCACGCTCTTCGTTATCGATCGAAATAAAAAATAGAAATAATATGTAATAAATTGTTCGCCACATTGAAACGCTTATTTCGTGCTGCGCTTCCATAGCGACAGCGTCTCATTTTTAATGCAGCAACTAAAAAAATTTCCATGTGGCATGCATACATTTGCTGCAATAAATTCATTATTACAGTGTTCGAAGAAAATGTAGGAGTCATAGGACAGTCAATCGAGCGAAGTTTAAGAATCATTTTAATTATAAATATGTATGCGTTGATATCTATTCGTTTGCGCATATCAACATATGTATTTACATATTTAAGAAACATATGTCAGAGCGTATGTAAACGCTTGCGCTCGATGCTGCACGCCAGTGGTGTGCAAACTAAGCTTCGTAGCACGGAGAGCTTTTTCCTCACTTCGGTTTCGTTACTATGTCTTGCTGTAGATGCGCATCCAGTGCAAACACTTCCCGCGTATTGCCTTTTGTCTGAGGGACAAGATAAAAGAGGAGAAAAGTCACATCTCGGACACAGACGAGATATTATATGAATAGACTTTGCATCTTACCAGACTTCGTGTCTCGTGTCCTGAAATACCGACATTGCAAAAAAAATCGTTGGTGTCTTAGCGCACTCTACGCTTAAAGAACGGTGCATTGGAGAATTACATCGAGCAAAACGATCAAAGTTGATCAAGTAGTTGAATGCGCCAGGGACATGATGCCTGAAATCTATTACAGCGTTGTCAAATTTTGTAAATGCCAAAACGTAAAGCTGTGAAATTCTATTGTCTATTTTACGAATTCACGACAGATTTCTGGACGTAGTATATTAAAATTCCAAAGCTACTAATACACAGTTTTTAATGTAGATGCTTTATAGTTCACGAAACATTTTTAAGAACAATTTTTAACTAATTAGATTTCAACTATTTCTTAAAATTATTTTCTTAGGTAAGTCAATTGTTGTTACAAAATATAATTTCATCATTCACTTATGTTACATATTCAAATTTATACATAATTATAGAATTTATACAAATTTATGCAGTGCATTGGGTATGACAAAAATATAAATTCTATTATTCATCAATTAAAAATTACGTTCTTAGTTTCTACATAGTGTAATTAAAATATTTGAAATTTTTCTATAAACTAGCTACAATAACAACAAATTTATTGTAACAACCTCGTTATTTATATAATAGAAATCATCATTTCATGAAGATGTAATGAAAAATACAAGCAGAGTGAAAAATATAGTGTTTTCTTTATCTCACAAAATCGATTAATTAAAAAGATAATGTTTTTATACATTTGGATTTTATTATATTTCTTCAAATCGAGTGATGGAAGAAATTTTGAGATTAATTTTTTTAAAACTTTTTTTTTTTTTCATGTAGTAAACCGAGATCCGGGCTCCTAAAGTTGAGAACCATGTGTGAAGTGAAAACCCCTAATTAGCTACAGGAAATAAAATCGAACAGTTTGAGAACTCAAATAAAGACTAAGTTATATGAACAATCGTTCAGCCCATTTCGCTAGTTTCACTGCATCTTATACCGATGGACAGAACAATGAAAGAAATATGGCAACCATGTTAGACTTTGGCAACTATGATTTCATCAGGTAATCCTAAACTTACCCGGGTCCCTTTTATTTGTCATTTCGCTAGTAGGTACGGTAATAAATAAAGTGACTTGAACACAATACAGTCAACTTACAGACTAACTTACAGACGATGTCTTTCTTATTTGTTAGGACAAAGGATTGTTTAGAATGACGATTTCTGCAATAGATTGAAAATCGTGAGGAAGTAATTAATCTACAAGTTCATCGTGCAATTTGGAAAAAGGCAAATGGAAAAAAATAAGAATGAGCAATATTTTAATAAAAACATATTTCAATCAATCTTTTTGGATACTTTTAAACAGATGTAAATATTAATATCTCGTCCCAGTTTCCATCAGCCGTTGTTCCAAATCGTTATGTCCTTTTATTGACGAAGTATATCGCCAGCAATTCTCGCAGCAGACGTGGCAACGTCGTCCACATTTTTCGATTTTGAATTCCCTAGTAACTAGCAGCGCTGCGGTGGAAAACTTGTCTAAATCGGTACGACAGGCAGTGACACGAAAATGGTAATGGGGTCCTAGGACCCCACGAACGTATGGACAAGCAAACATTGCAGGTAGATCTGTCTACACACCTTGTCCACGAAATGAATCGAGGACTTGTCTATCTCTCTGTCTCTCTCTTTTTATCTTTTAGGGTTGATAGTTGCAGAGAGGGGATAGGAATCGCGTTGATAGGGCTTCCATTCGTGAGGACGGCACTGTCATACGCTTCGAAGAGGCCGATCAACGCGCATAAGCGTTTCGAAGGAGAAGGTAAAGAAAAGAAAAGAAAAAGAAAAAAGAAACAGATAGGAAAGTATTTTGTGCGATCGAGAAAAAGAAGCAAAAAAGTTCGAAAAGATAACAAGAGGCGAGAAGATGCCTGTAATTGATCGGATCTCCCTCTATGAAACTCGCTCGTTGAACGTCATTTAAAGGTCGCCGGCGAGTAATCGAAAACAGACAATGGCGTAGTTCGTGTTTTGTGCTATCAGCTGATACGTTTCGATGGGCCGTCGTGCTTGACAAAACAGGACACCGTGAGCAGTAAACCTGGTCTCTCCTCGTTGCTGAATATCATGTTACGATGCGTAGTACCGTGTGCATTCTAACAAGCTAACTCGAGGCTCCGAAAAGTTCTCCTTTCAACTTGTAACGCACCGACTCCATTATTCACTGTCATTGAGCATAGTGTTTTTAATCTGGTAAGGGAACGTTTCGACGAGAGCGCTGCAAACAATTTATTACGTGCATATTCCAATGCACGATGTTTATTTTCCACGCCGATACTTATTAATTTACTGTCGCTTTATTTGATTATTTGTCGCTGCTCGACGTGAATTTCCGTTTTCCAATATACACTTTATCCGGTTTTGCACGTATATACGCATATATGTATGTGCGATGTACTTTGACGTAATCGTATCAAGTTATATTTTGACACGTAAAATTAGGCACGCTGTCTCAAATGCTTGTAACAAAATAAGATATCAATATTGATTTGAATTTCACTCTTGTCAGATAAAGTATATTTTGAAAGATTGTTATCTGTTGCGTCCTCCGTGTTTATATAAACGTTGATTAAACTGTAAATAATATACCATACTTTGACCTGGCAAGTTATTTTTAAAGTCAAGTGCAAATATAAATTTTATGGCTACTCTATCTACGCATTTGTACAAATTTAGTTCATTTCCAAGAAAGTACTTCAATAAAAATTCTCGGTATACTAACAAAACAATAATTACCACACAAGTGAAGTAAGATTGCAAAAATATATACATTTAAAACAACAAGTTCTTTTACATTTTTCTATCTGAATGCAAAAATATTCAAAAACACAATAAACGTATTGAATTTCTGTTGCAGGGATTCTTTCTAACAATGGGGGCAGCTGTGAGCAGTGGGGAAAGTAATGATGAATTGGTTGATAATTTAATGAAATATGGATATATAAGAACAAGAAAGGTGGAGCAAGTTTTTAGAGCTGTTGACAGAGCCGATTACGTTTTACCGTCTCACAGAGAAAGAGCTTATAACGATCTTGCCTGGAAACATGGCAACATTCATTTATCAGCACCATGTATATATAGCGAGGTGATGGAAAGTCTTTCATTGGAGCCAGGATTGAGCTTTTTAAATCTTGGATCAGGAACTGGTTATCTCAGTACAATGGCAGGACTCATATTGAGTAAGACTGTTGTTTTGCTAGATCAGTATGGTACTCTCTTGATATCTTTGCGCCTTTCTTAGATCAACACGGTACGAATCATGGCATTGAGTTGCACGAAGATTGTTTGAATTACGCGTACGAGCGGCTAGAAGAGTTTAAGCAAAAGTCATTAGCACTGGACGAATTTGATTTTTGCGAGCCAGTTTTTGTACAAGGTGACACACATAAAGAATTTATTTATATATGACTCCTGTGAGGACAAAAGAAAAGAGTCATGTAACTGTACGTTTAACAGGGAATTGTTTGAATGTTACACCTAGTAGGCAGTATAACAGAGTGTATTGCGGGGCAGCGTGTCCCGAAAATTACGAGGGATTCATTAAACAATTTGTATGTGTCGGAGGTATCCTTATAATGCCGTTCAAAGATCACCTGTTACGTGTACTCAGAATAGACGAGGATACCTGGTTACACTTTAAAATGCTTCCCGTATCGTTTACAACGTTAGTCGTACCCACTGCTTCGGAGCAAACGTTATTCCATCTACGTATGTATATTTGTAATTTCTTTTTTATTCAAATCAATGAAAAATATCTGCGAATCGTTTCTACATCGCCACTTGCGTGTATTGCAGCTGAATCTGTCCCGTTATCTTTGCAAGAATTATGCAGAGGCAAAATCAGACGCTGTCTGCGATCGAACGTATGGAGGGAGCACGAGGATTTGGAGACGAAAGTAGTAATATCATTGAGACGACGAAGATTCAGTCCTCCCCAGCAAACTTTAACAAGATTCGTGATCCCCGTGCTGGGGGAGTCTGACGAATCTGTGTCAGACGAGTCTGTATCGGACGAAGACGACGAATTTACAAGAAGATTGTGCGTGTTGCTCAACGTAGATGTCGACCCCAGGGATCTGTACCCAACCTCTCAAGTGCGGGCTGTCATGTTGTGCAACATGAACGAAAGTCAGAATTGGCAGGTGGTGAATAGCAATAGCAATAGTAATAGCAACGTTGAATGGAACAATGAAAGTCCTGAAAGTTCGACGGACAATAACAAATCTGTTTCGCGGACAGAAGAGGATAACGGTGTACAAATTGCATCCAATTCGACGGAAGAGAAACAAACGGAGAACAAAGCCGAAGCAACGCAGAATTTCACCAACGTCAACGAAACGTATTTGAATCTGCTGAAGCATACTGAAACGTTGTTAAATATAAGCGAAAGTGATAGCGAAACGGAACAGGACGAGACAATCGTTCAACGTAAAAAGATGGCTAAACGAGAGAAAACGGACAGTGGCATCGTGGAAGACGTGAACTTGAACAACGAGGATAGCAGCCCCAGATCGAATAACAGTCAATCAGAGTTAGAACCTCCTGTCGATCCTCCGGACACGGCGGAAGCGATGGACGTGGATGCATCGGGTAGCCCCCGTGACCAAAATGTAATATTCGCCCGTTACGTAAACAGCGATGCCTTTTATACTTACATGAAGGAGAAAATACATCAGTTACCATTGCCTTTCTCATCGAAGTTGTACCTAAACTATAATCGTAAGCTGTAATATAAGTAAATTACATACGCGAATCATATTATTCTAATTTAAATAAATAAACGAATATATGTGTATATATATATATATAAGTATCATAGTTTATATGAAATAATCACTGACGTTAACTTTGTATCTTTTTCTGTTCTTCTCTCTTTTTATTTCAAACCGAGACCTTGCAAGTCCTTCAACCAAGGAACGCGTACTGTCTTCCATTTAAATCAGCATTACAGTCATCCACTCTCATCTCGTTTTTCATTCACCTCATTGCGAGCACGTTACACAGAGATGTGGCATCAAATATCGCACGAAAGTAATCACCAATATATTTTCTAAAATATCTCACATACTCACATCCATCGGTATTTTTGTATTTCTTATGAATGTAATCGTGCTACTTTTCCTCCCCCCCGGAAACGTGCTTGCTCGCACATCCTGAAAAAAATCAATCGATCCAAACGATCCTCGAAAAACATGAACTGTGCTTTTACTTTCTGCGATCAAGTCAAATCGATACGATTCGTCGATACGGGACTTTTTCTAACGTTCGTCAGAGATGTGTCAGCATCCCCCACGGAACTGTACCGGGAGTATGGTTGAACGAGGGATGGACTGAGGGTGCGCGTGGAGAGATCAGTTGTGCGGAAGAGGCTAACGCCCAGCTGCCCGGCAGATCGCGGGTTCGTACGTTCGCGATAACACTCTCGACTGTCGGCAGACTTCTCGCCCCGATTGGCAATCGCCCCGGAGAAAGCTGATAAGATCGATTGGGATATGTCGATGTCCTTCGAGCTCACCCCCTCCTACACCACCTTCCGTATCGTGCAATTACTCTGAAATCCTACGTACAAATTCTACGCGTCTTCATCTAGATTGTTTCGTGCAGTGAATCATTGTAATATCATGCCCTTTGAATTCATGGACACGGCCAGCGAACGATGCGTACACGGCGCGAGAGCGAGGACAATTCTCGAACGTTGGCACGAAACTGAAACGCGAGTGCGTGACTGCACGATCGAATAAGGAACGAGTGCATTTGGAACACTAATGAAGAATACTTGGGCTCTTTGCATTCCCCGGAAGTACGTTGTTTACGTGGTAAATGTCTTCCTTGTTTTAATCATACAATCAGGAATACTCGTCGATTAATCGCAACAAACTTTACAAACAACTTGGTTTTAGAATAACAATAAACTTTCGCAAGTATCGCCGCGTGTGTACATACTGAGCGTAGAAAGTTTGAACGCCGAGGTTAGAAAAATGTGACAAATCGCCAAGACAGGAATTTTTCACAGTGAAAACAAAAATCCAGTGAGATCCTTTTTTTTTCTCGAGACGATGAGATTCACGGTGATCGGCGTTTCCCTTCTGTTTCACTTAACCTTGCTCAGAGGTTCGACAGGGAGCGAGGTGTCGTGCAGTAGCCGGCTGACGACGCCAAGAGGGGTGATCCAAACCCCGAACTTCCCCCGGGCTTTCACGGTGCCGATCAAGTGCCGCTGGGTGATCGATGTCTCCGACATTTCAGCGAGCAACAGCTCCATCGTCGTCTACTTGACACAGGTGTACGTGTACAAAGGGCTTCGTTTCACCGAGTACGCGTACTACGAGTCGGAGAGTATGAACTTCGGCGCGACGCTGATAAAAGAGATCACCGAGGGCAATGTGTTCGAGTACAAGCTGTTCAGAACGTTCAGGCCATTCCTGGTCATCGAGTTCGAGCTCGATCAACTCGAAGGGAATCACGTGCGGGTCCTGAACGATTTGCTGGACGTGTACGGGTTCAATATCACGTATCAGATGACCGAGGACGTGCCAAACCCGGATTCCTGTTCCGTCCAACGTTGCTCCTACACCGGGAACTGCTTCATGTCGGGGGATTACGAGTGAGCACTTTGACTTTTCGCCTTACCCTCAGCTTTATTTATTAGAATAGTGTCTAGTCACTTTATTTGTCACACAACTTGTGGTATATATATAGTTTGTAGTACGTTATTGGTTTGTTAAAATGGTATTTCATTGCTTGAGATTTAAGATGAACTTTTTAGAAGGGTGATAAGTTATTTGTATAACTATACAAATATAACATAAGTCACTTGTATTTATATAACTTGTAGTATATATAGTTTGTAGTATGTTATTGTTTTGTTAAAATGGTATTTCATTGCTTGAGATTTAAGATGAACTTTTTAGAAGGGTGATAAGTTATTTGTATAACTATACAAATATAACATAAGTCATTTTTATTTATATAACTTGTAGTATATATAGTTTGTAGTATGTTATTGTTTTGTTAAAATGATATTTTATTGCTTAGATGAATTACTTAAGACTTAAGATAAACTTTTTAGAAGGATCAGTTATTTATCACATAACTTATAGTATATATAATTTGTAGTATGTTATTGTCTTGTTCAAATGATATTTTACTGTTTAGATAAATTACTTAAAAGCTTTACTAATGAACTTTTTAGAAGGGTCACAAATTATTTATCACATAACTTGTAGTATATATAATTTGTAGTATGTTATTGTCTTGTTAAAATGATATTTTGCTGCTTAAATTACTTAAAAACTTTACCAATGAACTTTTTAGAAGGGTCACAAGTTGTTTATCACATAACTTGTAGTATATATAATTTGTAGTATGTTATTGTCTTGTTCAAATGATATTTTTACTGTTTAGATAAATTACCTAACATTTAAGAACATTTAAGAACAATAGATGAACAAAGATTGTCCATTATTTCTTACGTATACAATGTATTCCTTAATTTTTTAATATTTGTCGTTTATATTTCTTGCTAGACGTTCATAGCAAAGGATATCACTCTGCAGTTTGCTTTCAAAGACCATTGTATCCGCCTCTTGGTCGTTATTAAACGCGTATTAATCCTACGGTAAACAGGATCCGCTCTGAAACCTAATTAATCCGTGTTGTCATTCGCTGGGATTATCGCCTCGTTTGCTCTCATGCAAGCTGCAACAAGCGCTTTTATATGAATTTCATATGGATTTCTCTTTGAAAGTGAAACGCGTACTCGAATCAGTCGAAAAGAAACAAATTATCACAAGATAACTTCCAATCCATCCGTTTCCAGGGTGAGTGTCAAAAATAGAAGTCAACGTGTAAAATAAATGGAAAAAACCGTGGGAGCTTTTTCCTGCTCGAGGTCGTTTGTCGCGTGGAATAATTTCGGAAAGTTCCTAGCGAAAAGACAAACAAAGCGGTAGGATGGCATCGTGCGATATCGTATCAGCTCATGAATCATTAATGAAACCCGTATCATCATCAATTTACCCTCTATTCCTGGATCGCTGTGTTTGCTATATAAATAGCGTGTCTGTTATATAAATAATAGAATCTGTCTGTTATTTGCACGCAGGAGCTTCTGGTGCGACTGCTTCGAGGGTTTCAGCGGCAGGAATTGCAACAAAGGGCCACTCTGCTTCGACGACAGGAGAAACCCTGTCTGCCAGAACGAAGGCATCTGCAAGTACGAAGATCGTTCACGTAAACTCATCGTCGCAGATCTAACCTAAAATATATTCGGGATCGATGAAATTTTTAACCAATAGCAAAGAGATGTTTGCAGACCATTGGCTAAAAGCAGTTTCCATGAAACGCAGCTTCCATCGTCCATCGGCGTAAACTCGCTCTTTTAACCCTTTGACCTCGATAAATTTCTTTTGTATTATCTACAATTTCTTTACGAGGCATCATTTTAAATAATATGATACAAAGTTGGAGATAATCATTCAAATGGTATTTAACATGAAATTTTGTTAATTATCATTTTTTTGTGATATCGTTTAAATTTATTGCGGATTTGCTAGTATAATATATTATGTTAGTATAATATATAATATACTATATTATACTATAAGAACAAATATAATATATAAGAGTTAATGATGCATAGTTTCAATCTCTGGAAAAATAATATCCTCCATCATTTTTTAAACTTTCATAAAAAGCAATAAGAAGCCTTATTTAGTTTATTGCGGATTATACCAAATTATGTAAATCATTGAGTGTCAATTGACTCAGGACTGCCTTCAGAAATTTCTTCTTTTGAAATTCTTTTGTTTTTCTTACTTCATCTTTCATATTATAGCTTTCACTCTGTTCAAATATTATACTATTATATATTTTATAATTTATAATATATATATTATACTATTATATATTTTATAATTTATAGTATATATATTATACTATTATACATTATACATTCAATACCAAATGTATACGTTCATTATAATTATCAGCAAATTATAAAAAGAGAAAGTTCAAGCTGTTGGCTAGATTTAAGTTAACTTAATCTTCCCTCAGAAGAGACAAAGGGTTAACTTTCTTCTTGAAAACCGAACCAAAAGTCAATGAGTTATCGTCGATCTCTGAAAAAAACTGAAGAACCAAATCTCTGCTCGATCTTTCATAAACAAAACTGCCCCCTCTCTCTCTCTTTGCAAATGTCTATCGAGGTGATAGAACAATTGAAGTGACGAACAATTTCGTTGCAAACTGTTCCAGGCAAATTGGAGCAGAGGCGATGACCTGCAAATGCGCTAACGGTTACGTCGGTCGTCACTGTGAGATTCACCTTCTGGACACCGTGGATGGCGGTAGGATTCGCCCCAATATCGATACGATAGATCCCTTTATACCAGAATTCCAAATTATATTAGTTGCACTATACTGTACTATGGGTGGTCCATCTAAATATGTTTCTGAATTGTGACGATACAAAAAGTATTTTAACACGAAAGGCCAATGACTGGTAAGAATATTTTTTTCAAATTTTTGTCATTTTTTTTCATATTTCTCAAGGTCACCAACATTTTGTTTCTTTTTATGTAACTATGTATTTTTTTTTTTTTTTTTATTGGTATTCTCAGCGAATCAATTAACTTGTTTGAAACGCTTAACGACAAACTCGAGAGATCGTTCACTACGCAGACAACATTTCGATGACTCACGAGATGCTTGTTTGCAGAGTGCGGCATCGAGAATTGCATAATACAATGCCCTTACGACGAGAAGGGGGAACAGCAACCGTGCGCGTGTAAAAACGGCACGAAGATCTATAACAGTAAGTTATATATAGCCTCGTCCTTCGGATTTCCAATCCGATTCGGATTTTCCCAGGGAAAATGAAACTCCCGAAAGTTTTCCTTCTCTCTGTGAATAATCCGTGGAAATTTTGCAGATCGGTCGAGATACGAGTGCAGAATCAAACTGTCGAACGTGACGTCCCTAAGGTCTGGCCTGATTGCGCAACACGGCAGCTTAGAGTCCTACGTCGGTAAACAGGTGAGTGATAGTTCAAAACTTCAATAGGCCAAACTTTCCCCACGTGCCAATTTCTCTCCCAAGTGAGCTTCGATGCGCCGCTAAGTTATTTTAACAACAAAAACGTGTTTATAAATAGCAAACGTATAAGAAGAATATTAGAAAGAGACAAAACAACTTACTTTAATAAATAATAATGTCTTACTTTAAATAACTTGGTCTGCGCGCCGCTAGGGGCGCATTGCGTCACGATTGACCACCCGTGGTTTAGAAAATAGTATAGAAATGCCATAGAATTTGTTGAATTTAGTCGAATCGGAGACGTCATTCTCTCTCTGTTGAATGTTCGTTGGGAGAAAAAAATCTCTCCGCTCTTCGTGAATTTTATCCTGATGGCTCGCCTCAATGAGTCCGTGATCTTCCGGAAATAAAAGTCGGTCTTTTATCTTTGCTTGAAAGAAAAAGAAAAACAAATCGTGTAAACAGTAAACGATGTACGTAAGATAAAACGTACGCGTGCAAGTCACGCTGCAGACAATGTTCGCGACGATCACGTTATCGCGCTGTTTCGCAATCCTCTTGGCATCTGCCATAAATCGGACCCGCGGTTTGTTTACGATCGAGCACACCCTGTGACAAGCGAATATACGTGTACGCGAGTATACATAGCGAGTATAGACGTAACTAGGCAAACGTGACTACTTGTTATAGCATGTACACACGAAAATAAGCGCACGTTTCGTCAAATCAATACGAGTTTCGACACACCTACTTATATTATAATTGTCCGTTTTGTTATCTGCAGAATTCACCAGCGTTGCTATTGTTGCTAACCGCGATTCCCTTTTTCGAGCAACTGTTTCGCAACGATCGAGACGTATCTTCTCTCTTCAAATCTTCCGTGTCTTTCTAGATCTCCCACATAAATTCTCGTCCCATTGTTGTGCGGTTCTTCGAGCCACGGTATTAAAATACCAACTGTAGACTTCTGCGTCGTAAAGCGTGTGAAATGAAAACGTTAGCAATCTTCTCGGGGTAATTCATATAGGAAAAGATTTTCGATGGGACACTTCGGCATTCACATGGCTGTGACAAATACTGTAACGTTGTACAGGGTGATTCACGTAGCTTCCATACCTGAAATAATTTTAAATTATACGCCCGATGAAAAATTGTTTAATAGAAAAGTTGAATGATCTTGAGGAAAAGAAATGGCGTATCAATTTCCGTGGGTATATATATAAATATATAAGTTTATAATCGAAGATATTAACATGGATTTCGCTAGCGAAAGCATATCGTACATACAATTCCCAGACGTTCTAATCCTCGAATAAGACGATATCACGTAATATGTAGTAATAAAACAACAAATATTAATTTCCATCGATCTGTCCCATTGGTGCTTTCGCTAATCTAACAGCGATAATCAGTTTCGTTAAAGTCAATCATGTCGATAAAATGATTATTAAACTGCGAGCTGTGAATAAGATAAAAGAAATTTTTATCGAGATGTAGGGGCCAAAAATCACTTCCTACTAAAATAAATAAAATTAATAAAACTAGTTTTTTCTTATATTTTGATGTTTTATTAAAAAAAATAGGTGAGAAGAAACTTTTGGTCCACCCTATGTAACATTGATCTATCGTTGACAACTATGATTTCTAAAGTGAGAGATGTATAACCAGAAGATATATAAACTGAAAATTACACCCCTTTATATGATTATAAGTTCACATAGTTCACATAGTTTCTGACACACGTGTGATACATTGAAAGATGTAACAGCTGACTTTGCAGCGGCACGAGACGATTTAATGAAGACAGCACGTTAATTTAATTTAATATACGTATAGTATACCCGTTTTAGACGCCTACACGTGATTGTTTCTGCAAGTGTTGGATTATTTTGAAATACATATTCACTCAGGGCGTTCATTGGCTAACGCTATTGCTGACGACACGTAAACTCTTTGGAAGATAACAATTTATAAACAGCTTATGAAAGTATATGTATCTATTGAATAAGTAGATATTTTATACACGTCTCGATATGCAATAAAAGAAACAAGGTTCGATTTAAAAATTGAAATGTGACTTGCAGGTTTCTGCAACGTTATCTCTAGATCAAACTCCCTAGATACCATACAATTTTCTGAAATATCTGAAACGTATCATCTCGTATTATTTCTGATGTAGAATAATTACATAATTACGTACACGTAAACATTTAATACGCACATATTGTATTGCAACGTAATATAAATAAGTCGTCAATGTTCGATTGACGTGATTGGCTCGAGGGAACGACTTGGAATGCAAACGGACGTAGAACTAAAAATGATCGGTTTTTCACTGACGTACGAGCAGAACCAGACACGGGGTATACCCTCGCGCTCGTGATACGGGGAATACCGGTGCAAGTTGACCTAGATTCCAGGACTTTCTTCGAACGCAGTTCAGATTTCTAATTTCCGCTACGGAAAGGAAAATGAAACATTTCGATATTTAATAAATACATTGGATACGATTGAATGTCTACTAAAATTATTAATGAAAATTTCATTGATAGAAAATGAGTTGAGTTTCACGTGCGACACACGGCAACGTAAATATTAGGTTAGGTTTACGATTGTTATTCAGGCGTTGCGAAAGGAAAACGAAATCTATCAATATTGAATAAAAATAGTTAGCTTAGTTTAGATACATTGAATGATTGAAATATCTACTAATATCTACTAAAAATACAAGTGGATATTAAAATTATTAACGAAAATTTCATTGATAGGAACTGAGTTAAATTTCACACAAGGTAACGTAAATGTTAGGTGTTAAGTTATTAAGTGTTATATTTTAGCTGTTACGAAAGGGAAATAAAACTTCTCAGTATTTAATAAAATCTTAGTTTGAATACATTAAACGATTGAATAATTATCAAAATTAAAAATTTTTCATTGATACGAAATGAGTTGACGTTGATGTTGATGTTGATATTGAAATGAATTGAATTAAATTTCACACACAAGGCAACATAAATGTTAGGTTAGGTTACAAAATGAAAATCAAACCTTTCGATATTTAATGAAACCTCAGATTAAACACATCGAACGATGGAATACTACTGAAATTATTATTGAAAATTTTTCATTGATAAGGAATGAGTTAAATTTCACGTAGGTAACGTATTACGTGTTATTAATCGATTAGCTTTCTCGAAAAAACGACACGTGAGAAGCGCGCCAATGCAATTAAAGGAAAACGTGGCATTCTTGGAAATTGTTTTAATTTATTCATTAAAGTTACCGAGTTACGACTCTGAAATAAAAAGTTATTGATTTTTAAAAGCAAATTCTTTTTTTTTTTTTTTTTTTTAAATCAAACGACTGATTTTTTTCAAGTCAAGTTTCGAAGAAAAATTGAGGAAAGATTGAAACTGAAAATTTAAGTGACCTCAAAGTTTTCATTTCATTGGAAGAATTTTACGTCGTTTTAGATAGTTTATGTTAATTATTTTACATTATTTACGATTGCGTCTTTGCGTCAGTCGCTTCCTTCGTCAACGTATATTCCTCAAACAGAATTTTCTATCTATACCGCGAATTATTTATAGCTATTATTAATAATACGTGATTATTATTAATAATACAAATATGTACCCGCAACTTCGTATCGATTATTCTTCAAGAAACCTGGCGTCCGAAGTGCATTGCTTTTTGACGTCAATTCTATTAGCGTCCCTTTTCGTTTTTCATTTTTTTCCTTTTCTACGGCATTCCCATTGACTCATTCGGGCGCAATGCCCTCGGTTCTTTCCCCGTGTAGCAGTCTCCCTTTCCCCTACATTTCACAACGATAATAACGATAATTCTCCACTAAGTCGAAGCGATACTATCTATTTCTTCTTCCTCGAATATCGAAGAACTTATTAATTTCAATTCTCCTTTTTATCTCCTTGTTATCAAATATCTCTCGGCACTCGACAGAAAATATACAATATTAATCAATATCGCGCTTCTATCGTGGCGTTCTTCGTTTTTAAATTACAATTAAAAGAGAGAGATTTTTAATTCTCTTTGTTATTAAAATTCTCTGCTCTCTTTTCAACTTTTAACTAAAATCCTCCTTTCTGGTTTCAATGGAAGCTTTCGTTTGGGCTTGATCACCAACTAAGATCTAGTTGTACATGTAACATTGTAACATTGGCAATCAATAGCTCCACATTCGAGATATTCCTCCAAGATGCAGAAAATTCTCTCTCCTTCGTCCAAATGCAAATGCAGCGAGTATCCAGTCTTGTTAATAGATCAAAACAGGTCTCGGATGGCACTCTTTTCTCTGTCCTCTTTAATTCCAAAATTCTTTCCCGCGGTGCGTGCTACAGCTCACGATTGAAATTCCAGATCCCACAGCTGGATCTCTGACCTAATCTCTTTCCGGTTTGTTGAGCTTTTCGACACTGACTATTCGGAGCCTTCTCGGCGATTTTTCTTCCCTCCGGCGACTTGAACAGAAAAAATCGTTTCTCATCAGAAAGTTATTGTTATTGGTACCTTTGTAATTTATTGTTTCGTAAATATAACGCGATAAAATGTATCGGCAAGATCTTATCCACCGTAACGAAAGATATTGGCTCTTCTTCCTTTTCTTTTTTTTTTTCTTTTTTCATAGAATTGATAAGATTAACCTGTCGCTCCTCCGTGTATTAAAGAACTCGGCGCCAGGTTGCAGCCTCGATTGCAATAGTCACGGCGTCGATTGCACCATTACTCGATTGTGGCTGCAAGAATCTTCCAATTGGCGAAATCTCTGAATTAACTGAATCGAGCATTTTTCAAAGTAAGTTTGAAACATCCCGAAAAAATTGCGAAATTGGTATTGGAGATCACTGCTTCGTTCATCGTCTCGAAAATATCGAATGAAGGCCTGTATAGAAAAAAATAAATAAATAAATTAATGAATAAAATAAAATTCTAACGAGATCGTATCGATCGATCTGCGATGCATAGTTAATTGCTGAGCTATGTTTAGACTGGTTACTCGGAATCGATCTTTTCTCCGATCGGCAGTTGCTCGCCTGTGAAATTTGGAATTCCCGGTGGATCGATTGCGCAAGCGTATTTCCGAGATGGTTGACCGATCGAGCCAAGGACGAAGAAAAGAAAGGTCTAAGGACTTTCGAGCGTTTTTTTTTTTTTAAATTTAAAGCAGGCAAAACTCTGTGAATCCGTCGCCAAAAATAGGGGATTTATCTTCCATTGATCATTATGAAACGTCATAATCAACGTTGATTACATAATGTTCCAGCGTCAATCTTCTAGCTTTACTGAAATTAGAATCGTTACGTGCAACGGATTTAATTTTAGCACGCGCGTACACCTTTCGCAGAGTATATCCGTTTTTACACGAAAAAAGTCAGAGAGAAATGGAAGCAACATGAGACAAAAAGAGTGTGCATGCAATAGTATTACACTGAACGCTACATAAACATTTGTTTTCAATACACAAACAAACTGAAATCTGTTAAAATATGTGAAACACTATCTAACAAAATTTAAAAAACAGATCACAAATAGAAAAATAGCAAATTTTCAACAAATTCTATCTTTATGATATATTTAATTATATATTATTATTATAATATATATAATTATATATTATATATATAATATATAATTATATTTTATATGATATACTTATTAAAGAACAAAATTTAAAAAGTAGATCACAGAATGCAAAGATAGTATTTTACAAATGTGTTAAACAACAAAATTCTATTAAAATAATATTACAATGAACGCTGCACAAACATTTATTCCCAATGTATAAAGAAACTAAAATCTTTCGAATACTACCTGACAAAATTTAAAAACTACAAATCACAAATTTAAAGATAGTATTCAACAAGTATGTTAGACAGCAAAATTCTATTCAAATATTATTACAATGAACGCTGCATGAATATTCATTTTCAGTACATAAAGAAACTAGAATCTTTTAAATACTATCCAACAAAATTTAAGAAAGGAAAACTTCAGATCACAAATATAAAGATATTCAACAAATGTGTCAAACAAAATACTACTAAAATAGTGTTACATTGAAATACTATTAAATTAGCTTTACCACTAAAATAGTATTACAATAGTATTAAAATACTATATTAAAATATTAGTATTACGCGTATAAGCGAGAAAATCCGATAACAATAGGGGCAGGTTGAAACAGATGTGAGATATCGACGTCCCGTAATTGCCCAAGGCCGTGATTTTCACGAGTAGATTTCCACCTGGATTATCAGCGAACCTGTTCAATTGCAAGGCTGACGAAATCAGACATGCGAGACCTAACCGTTTGCATCATGTTTGTTGATAGAAGCACGTGGTATCGATCCGAGGAATCCTGTCGCAGGAAAATGGATGTGAAACTTATTAAACAAACAAATTCTCCATGGTATCCATTAGGTTTGCCATCGACTCAAATATGTCGATGGTGTTTGATCTTGACTGGCGCTTCAAGCACGAAAAATCACTCGACGAGACCACTATGCCACTACTATGCACTAGCGCGTAATAAGGAAATTCCATCTCATTCTAATTCTCAGTTTAGAGCTTGTTCTCGAGTTGACATTCCTTCAGACTTTTTATCTCTGTGCTTGTGCGACACAAACAAGCGATGTTGGGACAGAGATCATAAACAAAGCCCCTGACCCAGACATCGTTCGTGGTACGACTAGTCAAATTTGCATCCGCAGCTAAATAATTGTACTGACTTACTAGTTACTTTTTCGTGCAGACCACTTTATACTTGGCGATACAATAAACTCTGTAAGTTCGAAGATTGAATACGAGGAAAATTGATAATGAACGTTCGTGTTTTCTTAAAACTAAGTCGTTGTAACGTAGTTACTTTCGATGTAAATCGTCGCAATTTCCAACGTACGCCTATTACACAGGGTGGGCCAAAAATTTTCCTAGCTTTTTTAACCTCTTGCGCTGGAATGACGCGCCACGCACGTCGAAGAATACTTGGCCCAAAATTGCAATATTTTCTCAGTTTTCAGTAACAAATAATAAATCTATTACTTCTTAGTAATTTCTATCCAATGATATACCGATGAATTCAAAAAGAAGACGAATTGCTATACGGCTTGGTCACTCGTTATGGTCCGTGAACCAATTACTAGCGCAAGAGGTTAATAAAACATCAAAGTGTATAAGAAAAAAAAACTAAAACTTTTGCCAATTTTATATTATAAAAAAATTTTTTGGCCCACCTTATACTTTATACTCGACGACACAATAAGCTCTTCAAGCTCGAAGTAACAAGATCGAGTTGATCATTCGGGGAAAACTGGTAACGTTTTTCCCCCTCAATTTGCATTGCAAGCGCACACTAACCAACTAATTGACATGAAATTGCCCTTGCCGCTTGTTAACCCAGCGAAAGAATTATAAATTCGTTACCACGAAGTTTCGGTTCCCCGAGTTTTTTTTTTTTTTCATTTCTTGGTAAAAGCTTTCGCGGCCAATTCGCGGATGGAGAGCCCCGTCCTGTGTACACAAACTCGATACGGTTTATCTGGAATAACCGCGGATATATGGCACGATCGAGGAGCGTCTCGGTAGGGAGAGGGGGGAGGACAACGCCTCTATAAAAGCGGCGCGTGTCGACTGACGAGGTCACTCGTTGCTCGAACCTCGACGGAGTTCCCTCGCGCTGGTACGTGTTACTTCTCTCCCAAGAGAGTGATCGTGAAAGTCTTTCGCTGTTGTTGCGTAAGATTGTACCAAGAGTGAGTGCGTCGACGAACAGGTTCAGAGTCGGAGGAGATCCTACAGCAACTTATTCTAGTGAACTTGCCAAATCGATAGCAAAGGCTCGATCGAAAGAAACCGGCGGATTGGCTGAAGTGGTCGTTGCCTGTTGTAAACTGGCGATCAAAGACGAAAAAATTCCAACGTTCAGTGAAGTGTGCAAGCGAGTCGTGCCGGGGAAAAGCGGATCGAAAGGCAATCAAGAGCAGATAACCACGGATATGACGCGTTGTCAGAGCCTGCAGTACGCATCAGCTACGATGACCGACAGGTAATACAAACACTTTCATCTTTCACAGCGTGACTAGATAGTCTCGCGATTAATGCGTCGCAGCAGAATGCATTGCAACTTTTTATCAAATTGAAAAAGTTGGCTAACTTCCTGAATTTTCGTCGCGTCGAAATGACACATCTATTTGAAACCTCTCGTTGCAAATTTTCTCTGCGTCGCGAGTGAAACATTTGACTAGTGAATAAAGTTTCGATCCAGGAAGGCTGATCTCGATTGACTTTCTAGTGGCAGTCTATCGTGGACCGGGCAGAAAGAGATGTCCGGCTGCCCGAGGGGCACGATCACATGCGGCATGCTGCCGACGTTGCGTGCCCTGGCATCCAAACAATGCGACAACAGCCAAGGTGTCGTCTGCCTCGTGCCGTTCGACGCCGACATGGATTCTGCCAGTCACCTGCAGATGATTTTACTCGAGGCGTACTGCCGCGAGACGGGTATCAAGGTGTTGAGAGTGTCCAGAGAGAGGATACGGGACCACCTGTGCCCCGGCAGCGTCGATCTCTCCTGCGTCCTCATTTCCAACGACGACGACCCGTATTTTTTAGACCCCCCGGAGTGAATTTGTCAGACTGGCTGATTTCGAAGAACCGAGTTTTTTTTGGACTGCACACCGTCACGCGACTCTGGACACAGTCGAGGAGGGTCGTCGTAGGGCGGGTGATAGAAGGAGAGAGAGCGTCTTCGGCCTTCGAGCACAAAAATAGAAGGAATACACGTTGGTCGACTTTTTCGCGTTCGTGCGTTATATGACTTGCAACCTTAACGCTCGGAGTCGAATGGAACGCCATCGATAACGAGACGAGATAGTGGCTAACGGATAACGTGGCTCTTAGAGATAAGCTTCTTTGCGTAGATCTCTCGATCGCAATTTAATCGTGAAATTCGTTATTCGAAGCGAGGAAGTATCTGCACACGCGCACAGCCTTATTGTAACGTAATTGTTGAATTTAGGAACACACAAAGATGAAAGATGGAACATAATTATTTTGTATAATTGTCTTGTAATGGATTTCGAAGAAACGCATTCGTTGTGATTCCGATGATTATTTTGTAACAATATATGCAGACGTTATCTAACGATTGTTTCTTTATTTATTTATTCCTGCACCACGACCCTCTCCATGCGATAATCGGTCTTTTAACACTAACGTTCTAACTTCTTCGTAGCTGACAAAGTATTTGAAGAACTCTAATATCTCTTCCATGGAGGATCTACAAATCCTGAGCGTGACGTGAGTAGGTACATTAAACAATAAAGAGGCTCTCAATCGAAAGAGAAAGAGAAAGTATGAAATCTAAGAAAAAGACACGTGTTAAAATAGAGATCATTAAAAACAACTTCTCACAGTTTGCTTTTCTCACCTGCTTTACTTAACGTTCGTTACACAGGCCAACGTCGGAAGTCACTTTCCACTTTTTTGGAAACTCCGAGGACGGAGACAAAATTCGGGAGTCTTTGAACAAGTTGGTTCAACGGCGACGGCTCAGCGAGATCTCCCTCGAGTCAACTCACTTCACCTTCCAGCAAAAGCCCGCGCTCAAATTGCAGGTAACACACACACACACAACAGGTGGACTTTTTCAGAAGTGTAGACTTGACTTTTCATCTCGGCGTTTCTTCTCAGAGTCTCCGGCTGAATCAAGGGAACGAGCACGAGATTCATCCGGGTGATCAGTTTACTCTGTCCTGCGCTGCACAGGGCAGTTACAGCATAAACTTCACTTGGTACAAGGACAGCATGCTGGTGAACACGAACAAGGCCACCAGGTGGGGAAAAAAAAAAAAAACGAAATTACTTATGATATATTGTAAACAAAAGGAAAAAACACAAACTGACAGATTAAACATTTTGTTCTGTTTAGGAAAATCTGGTACAAACATCTTCCCAACGATGGTTCTGATCTGCACACGTCGATACTAACCGTCGAGAGAGCAACTTTACTCGATGCCGGCCAATACACTTGCCAGATAGTCGACTGGGGCGTGCAGCAATGTAAGAGCATTTACGTAGACGTGAAAGATGAGCCAGACGTAAAGGTGATGCCAATGAGTGCCACCATAGACAAGGTGATCTAGATAGTTTGCAAGAGCTTTTAACAATTTTAAGTGACTGTCTCTCTAAGTCGGTCTTCTCTTCAGGGAACCAACATACAGTTAACATGCATGACACCAAACGTCCCAAACATTGGAATTGGATTCGGCTGGACAAAAAACAAAGCCCTGCTGAAGCTGGAACTCGGCAGCGAGGTCTGGGAAGATTTGTTTCCTACTGGAAGCATATTAAAGATTACAAATGCGCAGGTATTTGATCAAGCAGAGAAGTAAATTCAATCCATAAAATTTCTCACTTATTTGTTGTATGAAAATTTTGCAGAAATCTGCGATATATACCTGCAACGTGGCGGACAAATCCATGTCCGTTCGCGTGGAGATTGTGAATCGAACATTGATACCAATCTGCTCGAGGGGCAAGTCTTGGAGCTTGACTTGGCCAGACACAGCCCCAGGATCCGAGGCACTGTTGGAGTGCCCTCAACACTTTGTAGGCAAGAAAGTGTCCAGACTGTGCTCGATGAAAGATGCCACTACCCCCGAGTGGCAGACTCCTGACTTTTCTTCCTGCTTGTACGAGCCACTAGTCTCCCGTTACAACAAGTTCAAAAGCCTGACGTTGGGATATCAGAACACAACTGGTTCTGAGACGATATTCACCTTCTGGAAGATTCTGCAGTCGCGTAGCTTGTCTCTCTATCCTGGCGAGGGTGATCGTATTCTGAGTATCTTGGCGGGAATAGAGCGTTATCAGCGTACCATCGACCCCTCTGATTTACACGTCTCGACGGAGGCTTTGATACAGATAATCAATCGAGTACTGAACGACGAAAGTTCGATCTTGAGCCAGCAGGTATGAAAGATGATTTATGACCAAAAGAAAATTTAATTGGTAAAATGAAAATACATGGAGCTTGTAACTTTCAGAAAGTTCTGTTGCTCCTTCAAATCACCCAACGTAGCCTGATGCACTGGTCCAAGGTGGTCACTCATCCTCAGAAACATTTGTCTCTTTCCTCCTTGGTGGTAGACATTCAAGAGTTGCAACAACACAACGGAGATAGTATTACCCATTCTCTTCGAATCCCCATGGACGAGTCCACGTAATTAACGTTTGTCAAATAGTATTCATCTCTTTTGGACGATTATATCATTTATTCCACTATTGTCGTTTGTAGGTATCCAAGTTGGTACGACGACAAGACAACAGTACGACTGTGGAAAAAAAGGCAGCATGGAATAAAGTCCAACAACACCCTTCACGGGATAGTGATCGTTTACAAAAATATGTCTCATTTTCTTCCAGCCACATACGTCAAGGAACTCGAGTATGTGATCATTCCAGTGCTTCAATCACATGTTCAATTTTTGTATAATTATCTTGCTTGTTGTGGTGGTCAGTGATGGCACAGATCTGGAGTTCCGCATCAACTCTCGAGTGGTCACGGTGGCTGTGCCTGCCTTCAGCTCGGACAAACACAATAAAATCTGGGTGGACCTGCAGTTGAAACACGTGGAGAATCAGTCGAGTTCGTGGAACGTCTCGTGTGGTCTGATGGATGCTACAGGTTCCTGGGATCTCAACAGTTGCATCGCCAACACCTCTCCAGGCGACGCCGTGACACATTGCCTCTGCCCCAGCGCTGGAACGTTTGCGGTTTTCCTAACAGCACGCGCTGTAAAAGTGAGTTCAGGCGAGGTAAAATATATATTTTTTTTAGATTGTGTGTCAATAGATCATTCAGCGAGAACTGCTCGATTCAGGTAGTATTCGCAAAAAGGGAACAGACCACGTTCATCGTGATATTTGGATGTGGCAGCTGTTTGGCGCAGTGTCTCATATCTTCCTTGATCCTCGGCACCTTTTGGTGGAAGAATCGCAGTTGGCTGAACTTCCTGAAACTTCAGTGCTGCGGTGCTTTGGTCGGAGCGATGGCTACTTTCACTTACGCGGTGCACAATTATCTGCCAGAGGTAAAGTGCACGTTGAAATGACAACATTGCTCTCACGAGCCCTTTCATCACAATTATTTTGTTCCAGAGTTCGTACGCGATTGTAGCGATAGCTCTGGAGGCTTTCCTTTTGATTGGTATGTCAGCGCCGATATCAGAGGCTCTCATCATCCTCGAAGGTCTGACTCAAGGCCGACCTGGTCAACATTTTCAACCTACCATTATTGCAGTGGTCACTGGTTCGAAAAATCGTACTAAGAAACCAATTAGAACTTGATATAGATTTTTATTAATATAGATTTTACTTAATACAGGTGGCCCTGTCTTGGCCGTTTTAAGTACCGAACTCGCACACAAGAGCGTCGGTTGGAGACACAAGTCGTGGTGGTTGATATTTGGCAGTGGAGTTTACAATATCTTCGTTACTTGCTCGTCGATGATGTTCTTTACATTTGTGTTATTATATCTGGGGATCCTGCACAAGACTCACGCTCTTGTCGAGGAGAACGTTATGAAAAAAGAAGTGATAGAGGCTAGGTATGGTCGACAGAATCGTATACGATTAACGGACAGTTATAGTCGTCCATCGTTGAACACTTGCTGTGAACTAACCCCATAAAGAACTCGCATCAATTCACTTGAGCATAGCTCTGTTAACACCAACAAGAGGAATTTCCAAATTCGAGAAATAATACACAAACCAGCATGTATACCAGACTATAATTATTCGATAGGAGCAGTTGGTTGGTGGCAAAGTGGCTGCTAGTCACAAGCGGTATTAAATCTACAAGGGAAACCATCAAATAGTTTAGTACAAAAAGATTTTCTCTTTCATACGTTAGATGTGTCAGTTTGGAATTCATATTATTTGTCTAAATAGAAAACAAAGAAAGACATTTCAATCGCCAACTTTCACCTAACGTTCATAAGACAAATTTTATAAAAGTATGGCAAAGACAATTTTGTTAAAATTATTACCAAGTCTTCAGATAGAAATTCCTCTTGGGCTGACTGCATTTCTCTTCGATTCGTAGTACCGAATAGTAATTAAGTAAATGCGTTGTTTGTTCCAAAAATGACAAACGACTGATGAAAGTCACTGTTGGTTGTAAAATTCGAGACGTAGGTTTATGTGTTTATCCCTGTTTTGAAATATTTCCTACAAAATGGTATTATTAAACAATTTTATAAATTTCTTCCCAGAAATTTATTGCAAAATTTAACTGTTATTATGCTATTTATTCGATTGGGTCTAGTTCGCGTTATAGTTGGCCCGTTCACTGGCTAGTATTCGCGATTAAACGGAGGCACATTGGCCAAAAATGAAGTCAAATCGAAAAAAGGTTAAAAAATTAATTAATGATCGAAAGACCGCCAATAAGAATCTAAATTCTCCTCTTTTTCTTCAGGCTGCGTACGCTTCATCGATCTGCCGTAGTTATCTGCGGTATCCTCGCGGTGGAAGCCTCCTCTATCTTCTACATAAATTACACTTCCATCATCTTTCACTACATATTCGCCTCCCTTTCATCCGCCTTGGTAAGCTTAACCAATAAGTCGAGACGATCGAAAATCTAACCTAATCTAAATCTAATTATTATTAAATAATTAATTAATATATATATACATATAAATTAATTATTATTAAATAATTAATATATATATACATATACATATACTATTTTATAATATTTTGAAAATAGAATAAAAAATAAAAATACTACTTATTATAAGTATGTGTATATATATATATAAATTATTATAAATAAAATATATTATTTTATGTAATAATTATATTTACTAAAATATTTATGAATTTATTAAATTAATATTTAATATATATTTTAAATAAATAAATTTTTTATTTTTTACTAAAATTATTTATTTATTTTAGTCTAACGATCTAACTTGCGCAAATTTAGGGCTTCATTATAATGATAGTCTACATCGTGAACGGCGAGTTAACTACCGTCGACGTGATCTTGAGAAAACTGAAGTGGAAACAGGATACAGAAGAGGACATAACGTCCGAGCCGATCAAAGGTATGTTTTGTGAGAATTTTACAGATACCTTATAAATATACATTATTATGCGCATATATCATATGTATGTATATATAGGGTGGTCACTGATATAAAACAGAAATAACACAGACTTTTATAAACACACGTTTTTTTAAATTTTTTATTCTTTTATTTGGAAATATAATTAATGGATTTTTTTCTGAAATAGAAAAAGAAAATAAAAAAGATTGGGAATGAACAAGTTATGATAACTCTTCAGTTTTTCAGTGGCCACCCTATACAATTACATATTTAAAATTAATACATAATTAATATATATTATATGTATACTTTGTTATATCATATATATATAATTATATAGGATGGGCCAAAAATCACTTCCCACTAAAAAAAAAAGAGCACACATTTGCTGTTTGAGTGTTCCAGCAATTATTTGATAGAAATAATTTTTAAAACACAATAGAAAAAAAATCATATTTGAACTTAAATTTAATTTGAAATTAATAAGATTAGTTTCTTCTTGTATTTTGATGTTTCATTTAAAAAAAAAAAATTGGTGGGAAGAAACTTTTGGTCCACCCTATATATATAATTAATGTATATCACATAATTGTATTGTAATATATATTAATACACAACATAATTGTATGGCACGTACTGTATATATAATACTTATAATAATATATATTACATACATATATATAACACATAACTGTGCTATAATATAATTAATATATAAAACATATTATAACTGTGTACTGTGCTATAAAATTAATATATAAAATATATTATAACTGTGTACTGTGCTATAATTAATTTAATTATATTAATATAATTAATATATAAAATATATTATAACTGTGTACTGTGCTATAATATTAATATAATTAATATATAAAACATATTATAACTGTGTACTGTGCTATAATATCAATATAATTAATATATAAAATACATTTATTATAATATACGTGTGTAAATAACAGGTAATAAATAATAAAAGAAATTTACCTTCTCGTCACTTTTCAGTGTGTTCAAAGAGCGGCGCCGAGGTGGAGAACGACACAGCCCCGCCGTCGTCGTCGTTGAGCATCGGTGAGCCGTACCTGGAGGCACGGGGGATCGCAGCTGGCAGCATAGACATGCGCGAGTTCGTGAACGAGTCCTCGTCCTCGTACACCAACACCTCCGTCCCAGTCGCCGGCAGATTCCTGCCGGAGATCCGGATCGATCACACAGACGACATAAATCTGGAGAACTACAGCACCAGCCCGCGAAAGTACCAGGAAGCGGTCGTGTTCGACAGCGTGTTCTCGCCGCGGCCTCCGTTGCACTGCGTGAACGAGAGCTACAGCGGCAACGAGTGCTGCGGCTTCCGCGAATTCGGTAAATACAGGGAGTCGCAGGGGCAGATCTTCGTCGCGCACAATCCGTCGCCGGAGAGCTCGGCGAAGGTTCTGTGCAGCGCGGACGTTGAGTCGCGGCTGAGCGGGATGCCGGACGTGACGCTGGCCGTGAAGAACGACGTCGAGCTGCTGTCGGCGACGGAACTGAAGAGCAGGGAACACGTGAACGTCATCCCCGACATCGCCAACACTACGGAGCGTAAACAACCGGACGGGGAGGAGAAGGCGCCGGAGATCGTGATCACAAATTGCGAGGCCACTGCGAGTGGTATGCTGGATCGTATCGCGCACGATCTCGACTATCTGTTGAATCGTACCCACTCCACGGATGGGACGTAAATTTTTAGAAAGGAAACGAAACGATCTGAAGGAGATTGATTTCCTCGCAGTTCAAGATGTGGGAATATGGCACACCTCTCTCGCCATAAATGTTTAACGTTAAGTTCATTTACATATTTAATACACGGTACTTAATGATGTCCTTAGGAGAAATAAGTAAGAATTGTTTGAAGGGAATCGAACTGGCCCGAGCACAGCAGTTGTAGCACAGTGCTGTTCAGAATAAATTTTTGTTATTATAATGTAGAAACGATGAATGTGCGAGAGCTATATGTTTGGAAGAACGCGCAGAGAAAGGGAAGGAATGCACGACTGAGCAGCGCTAATTTAACTAAACTAAATGCAAAAGTCAATCTCTCTCATTTGAGTGAAACTGTCGTCTAACATCTAAATCCACGCAGAGAGTAGAAGTGGAAAACAGTTTGGGCTGTGACATGCAGCATTCGAGCAGACATGCAAATTCAAACGAATAAAAAGTAAAAACAACGGTACGTTTTTTAGAAAAGAAGATTATTATTATCGTTATTATTATCATGTATAATGTTTAACTTTAATGTTTTTTTTTTTTTTTTTTTTTAATCTGTAACAAAGATTCAACGTTATAAGGATATTACATTACACTTGCAATGTGTTAAACGAAAACAAGACTTGGAAGATACAGTCTGTCCCTCCCCCGTTTCTCTCCATTTTATAAAACTGTTTATACTCTGTCTCACCTCTGTCAGACGTATAGTCTCTGTAGAAAAAGATATCATTCGCAAAAGTGAATTACTCTTTGTAAGGACGTTTTCTCGATTACACTCCATCCATTAAAAAAGTGTTTTATATTAAAGATATGTTTACATCTCGTGTTCTTCTTTCCGATACATGAACTCTTGCAAGAAATAAGCTTTCTCCTTCGCACTTCCATTCTGTTTTTTTTTTTTTCTCCCCCTCCCTTTGTCAATGTAAATTTGAATATGTAAGAGCTCGCGTGTGTTAGGAAAGCAAACAGATTGAAACTGATCAGGAAGACAGGAGCGACTGAAAAATTTCAATGAACGAAGAACAAATTTTAGGCAGTGGAATTCCGAGTTATAGTATTTATTTATCACTGTCATCGTACAGCCCTTTTCGATAATATTCACGATTCAGTTGTCGCACTTTCTCTTTTCCCTTTTCTTTCTTTCATCTTCTTTCTTTTTCCCCCCCACTCTTTCTTATAATTTGAATTATAAAGCTATACATTCAATTTTTACCTCAATATAATCTACTTACATACTTAAGATCAAAGTTTATGTTGCTGGTAATAGTTTGTTACTTTATTTTTATCGTTTCCTTTCCGTTTTGTCTCTTTACCGCTAGTAATGGTTAGTCATTTGCTTAGTGAAATATGCGTCACTGAGAATTTTTCTTTTTTTTTTTTTTTTTCTTTTTTAACTAAACCCTCGCGTTACGTCCCGCGATAAACGCTTCTAAATCAGGAA